GTTTGGCAGTGTGTTTGTGTAATTAGTGGGCGTATTTTTCTGTTTTTGAGTAACTTGGTTGTTTTGCTGGGTTAGTTGATTTGCCGTCAGTTCGGTAATTGTGAAGTTTGCGGCGGAATGGAAGTCGATGGAAAAACTATTTAGACTATTGGTTGGCGGGCTACTTGTATGTTGTTGGTATGTTTGTTTATTGGTGGGTGTACTTTTGTTTTTGATTCAATTATTTTACTAAGTTAGCTGCTTACGTGGATAGTGACTAATTGATTGGGGATTTTGTTTCAGGGAAAAAGTGGTCTTACAAAGAATTGGAAAATATGACCTATGAAGAGTACAGAAATATATTTTTTGAGGACATACCTTCAGGAAATGAATCGGAGGATGATCAAAATGGGTCAGATGAAGACGTGCATTTTGCAGCACAAAAGCGGAACAACACCGTACGCGATGGTCGTGCAGTACTTGCAATGTCGGTTTGTGACTCACTGACCAAAAAAATTGCTTTGAAAAATATCATAGCAAATAAGTTGTATGTTTTTACTTCAAACTCCTTTTTATAACATTATCTTAATTAAATATATGTTTCAGTAATATCTGCATTGTATTGTTTTAGTGCTTGGTGGTATCATGGTGATACCACCTACTAATTCCTTTTTCTCCAAATGGAAAAATTTTCTGGGCTATTTTTAATGCTTTTGAGATCTTATCACTTCATTTTTTTCAGCTATAAATGAAATAGCTTAAAAATTTAAAAATATGCCTTGAAAGGGTTAAGGTAAAATTAGCGGTAGTGCTCAAACGGCATATTCACGAACAGGGGTTTATAATGCAAAATTGCATATTTTTATGCTCTCTACAACCCCTATCATTTTGTCGCAATAATTATGGAACACCCTGTATATATATATACAGCGTGGCCCATCCATGTGTGGACGGAATATTACTCATAAACAAATACATTTTGGGAAAATTTATTTATGGCATGTTATACATGGCATTTGAGGGCACACTTCTAAAATATTGGCAATTATACAGGGTGTCCCAATTTTGACCTACATATCAAAGTTGTGATTTTTAAATGGAATGCCTCAAATTTTATTGCATATTTGGATAAACCAATTCAAAAGAAGAATATTGATATGACATACTATGGGGTTTTTGTAATTAGCTACTGAGATTTAAGGTATTCAATCCGCCATTTTGAAATTTGTAGTGATGAATTTTGTATCAAAAAAAAACTTGCACACCTCAGATTTTATCTTATTTGTTACTTTTTCGAATTTTCATTTTTGCTCATACAGGGTGGTCGAAAACGCGAATTGTACTTTTTCACAAAAATTTCAAATGCATCACCCTGTATATTTGTGCAACTTTGGATTCAATTTTTTATAAGCTTTCTTTTGGTATAAGGTTAAAAAATCACATCATCCATGGAAACAAAAGACAGACAGTGGGCTAGTTCCATATTGCCACTAAGATTACAGATTTGACGTAAAAACTAAATAAAAGCGAAATAGAGAAAAACGACTATAACAACAACATAAACAAATAACTATCACTACTGAAGACCTAATCTAAGAAAACTGCTCGAAAATATCTCCATCATGTTGAATACACAGCCGTAGTCTTTGGATAAATGACCGTTGCACATCCCTCAGCATGTGTTCCCTTATGTTCAGAAAAGCATCCTTTCCTTCATATTTTCCGGGGTAGATGGTGGATATCTATAAACCGCTTGCTTAACGTACTCCTATAGAAAGAAGTCCATCGGTGTCATATCTGGTGATCTAGGAGGCCAAGATATAGGCCTATCACGACCGATCCAACGATTGTTACTCCAGGTGTCCAAATAGTTACGCACACGATTATGATGATGCGCAGATGCGCAGTCATGTTGGGAATACATATGCATCCTAGTTTGCAGGTTGACTTCCTCCAAAAGCAAAGGCAAATGCTCGATCAAAAAATTCAAGTATTCTGTACCTGTTAATCTGTTGTCGAAAAGGAAAGGCCTGATAACTTGGGGGATATTCCTGCAACTTTAATAGAACATCCAACTGATTCGCCTCATTGGTGACACTTGGATTATTCATACATTTTTTACTATATTCCACTGCTCCACTTGATTCAGAACGTTTTCGTAGTGTGGGAAATGTTTCCGGCCTTGGATGTCGCATATTAGGGTACCGTTGCTTATAAATGCGAGATGCTAGGAAACTATTTCTTTGGTCTTCGCCCAAAACGAACACCATATTCACTATTTCTTTAGAAATATTCATTTTCAAACACGTTTTTCTTATAATGATCACAAAGCTAATTTTGACAGTTTGTAACTAATGATTTATTGATGATTGATTTGTTTCCAAGGATGATGCGATATTTTAGGGAATTTAGCCGTGCCATAAAAGACGTGCTAATAACCGAAAAAATAGCCGTAAAAACCCTTATGTGTCTAGTATCAAAAAGAAAGCTTATAAAAAACTGAATCCAAACTTGCACAAATATACAGGGTGATGCATTTGACATTTTTGAGAATAACTACAATTCGCGTTTTTGACCAACCTGTATGAGCAAAAATTAAAATTCGAAAAAGTAACAAATAAGATAAAAGCCGAGGTGTGTAAATTTTTTCAGATACAAAAATCAGCACTCCAAATTTCAAAATGGCGGACTGAGGGGTTTCCGAAGTGGGGGGTTTTTCTAGACAAAACACCTTATATCTCAGTAGCTAATTACCAAAACCCTATAGTATATTATATCAATTTTCTTCTTTTAAATTGGTTTATCAAAATATGCAATAAAATAAAATAAAACTTTGATATGTAGGTCAAAATTGGGACACGCTGTATAATTGCCAATATCTTAGAAATGTGCCCTCAAATATCATGTATAATATGCCATAAATAGATTTTCCCAAAATGTTTCTGTTTATGTGTAATATTCCGTCCACACATGGATGGGCCACCCTGGATATACAGGGTGACTTTGAAGTTGAGTCATTAATTTTCAGATAATGATTGTAGAAGGAAGATAAACCAAAATATGTGTGTAAAAATAAAAAATTTTTACCTTGTTTTATAAAGTATCCTCCCAACAAGTATTTCAGTGCGGACCTGTATTTGATCGTGAGGTGCCCTGTGAGGTCTTAAGTCACCTGATTCACGAGCCCGTTGTACTACATTAACAAAGGCACGAGGGGTTGGTTGCACTCGATTGGGAAACCGATCCGCATAAACATGTGCCATTTTTTATTTCGTTTGAGCCACGCAACAGACACTATTCACACGCGACTGACACTGACTGTATGTATAACTGAACTGAATGAAATAAAAACATCGTTCCAAATTCTTTCGCTTTTTTGTTTCCCGTGCGATGAACCGATAAGGTGGATTATATCCGTTGTTGCCAAACACGAGTACATGATATTATTATTGAGACAGGGCGGTACTCAAACTTCCAAAGGGCTATAACTTTGTTACTTTAATTTTACCAGAAAAATGGTAAAGGAAAAAACATTTCTTTTGATCAGATCTACTCACTGTTAAAATAAATGACTCAACTTCGAAGTCATATATACATATATACAATGAATTGTTAATAGGGAAATGGGAAAATTTCAAAATCAAGCTTTCGGCATTCTCTATGGAGCCTTCATCAGGATTCTGAAAACAATTGTGATGCTAGCAAAGAATACAAGACCGATTTAAATTGTCAAACAACTTACTCGTCGTTGAGTTTGCAGCCACAAGGTGTTTCAAAACGAACGTAGAGAAGATAGAACTTGATATACATATAAAAACAAAAGGTCGGAGACATTGGGCTTGTTGATAACGACAGATACCTTCGATACATGTTAAAAATATCAATACACCCGAACATATTAAAAGTTATTAAACATGAGACGACATTTTAGGGAAACAATCGGAATGCAGTCTCTAACCTCGTACTTCCGCTACACGTGGAGAGGGGGACGGAACGGAAAGATAATGCGTCGACAGATGACAAGTGATTGACGCGACGGAACGTGGAACTGTAAACCTCATTGTCCAATTTGGGTATGAAGTATACGAGGGACGCTCGGTAAACCTCCACCCAAATTACTAAAATGCTGAATTAATTTGTTTTGGAAAAATGTGTAGTTCATACGAGTGTACGAATGTGAGATAGTGATACATACTTGAAAAGATGGGTTATGTGAGTTTGTATTAAAGATTGTGAGTGAGAAATTTCAATTACCAGGATAGCAATTGAAAATGTATTCTAATTTTGGGACGATGTTGGTTCGATTTGGAGATGTAGCCGTTCTAGCTTTTCGCAATTCAACAGGTAGGAATAAATGACACGAAGCTGCTTAACATCAATCAGCCATGAAAATGTGGGACATTTCTAAAAATAAACGTTTTGAGATTTTTTTTCTTTGTCAAGAACCTCAATACTGCCATAATTCATAGAGTGACCTGTGTTGTTAATATGAGATGCCAAAGCACATCTCTCTGGATGTAATCTGGCGTCACTTTTGTGTGAAGTTATCCTGCCTTTCAGTGACCTCGAAGTTTGGCCTATATACACTAAATTACAGTTGTTGCAATTAATGCGATTCATTTTGGACAACAGTTGAGGATGATATCGTTGAAGTTTTTAACAGTTATGATCCCTGCATCCAGTTCACCATCGAAAAAGAAGATGACAATCAATCTGTTCCCTTTCTGAATTCAAGATTGATTCGCACCAATGACAATATATTACTGGTAGACTGGTACAGGAAACCAATTTCTTCCGGAAGCCTCCTTAAAAAATTATTTCTGGAAATCGGCAAAATTGTTGCAGTGTGCTCTTGAAACTGTATTCTCAGGCTTTCTTTAAACTATGTTATCATCTTCAGGGGATAGTTAAATGAAAATCGTGCTAATTGTTCGTATAAAAATGTATGAGAACACTCAGTAGAACGACCAATACGACTGCATTTGTAAATAATCGAAACTATTTGTTAAACACGTTAAAAAACTCATAGCTATGTTTCATACACATCACAAACCGTGTTAGAACACCAAATGAATAGTTTTGATTCTACATCATAAATTGCTTCCACGATTACGTGAAATGTACTTTTTCTGTTCCCACGCCTACTGGCAGGGAACTATTGTAATCGCGAAAATTTTCTAAAATGGCTGTTACAAGCTAAAAACAAATGAAGGGGTGGACTTCACCCCTTGAACATAAAAAATGCGGTTTTTGGCATTTCTCACCTAGCCAGCAAAAAAGTTACAGGCTAAAAATGAACCAAAAGTGTTCCCTTTATTAGTAGCTATAGGGCCACATAGATCGCATTTTCTTCGAAGCCGTCGAAGGGGTTGATTTTACCCCCTGAACGTAAAAAATGTAGTTTTTTGCAATTCTCACCTAGCCAGCAAAAAAGTTACATGCTAAAAATGAACCAAAAGGGTTCCTTTCATTATTAGCTATAAGGCCACATAGATCCCATCTTCTTCGGAGCCGTCGAAGGGGTTGATTTCACCCCTTGAACGTAAAAAATGCAGTTTTTTGAATTTCTCACCTATCCAGCAAAAAAGTTACAGGCTAAAAATGAACAAAAAGTGTTCCATTTATTAGTAGCTATAGGGCCACATAGATCTCATCTTTTTCGGAGCCGTTGAAGGGGTTGATTTCACCCCTTAAACGTAAAAAATGCAGTTTTTTGAATTTCTCACCCAGCCAGCAAAAAAGTTAGTGACTAAAAGTGAATCTAAAGTGTTCCTTCAATTAGTAGCTATGAGACCGGATCCCATCTTCTTCGCAGCCGTCAAAACGGTTGATTTCTCCCCTTGAACGTCAAAAATGCTGTTTTTGGCACTTATCAACTAGCCAGCAAAATAGGTAAAGGGTTGACCCCTTCGACGACGGCTCCGAAGAAGATGGGATCTATGTGGCCTTATAGCTACTGATAAAAGGAACACTTTTGGTTCATTTTAGCCTGTAACTTTCTTGCTGGCTAGGTGAGAAATGCAAAAAACGCATTTTATGCGTTCAGGGGGTGAAATCAACCCCTTAGACGGCTCCGAAGAAGATGGGATCTATGTGGCCTTATAGCTACTGATAAAAGGAACACTTTTGGTTCATTTTAGCCTGTAACTTTCTTGCTGGCTAGGTGAGAAATGCAAAAAACGCATTTTATGCGTTCAGGGGGTGAAATCAACCCCTTAGACGGCTCCGAAGAAGATGGGATCTATGTGGCCTTATAGCTACTAATAAAAGGAACACTTTTGATTAATTTTTAGCCTGTTACTTTTTTGCTGGCTAGGTGAGAAATGCCAAAAACCGCATTTTCTACGTTCAAGGGGTGAAGTCCACCTCTTCGACGGGTTCGAAGAAATGACCCAATAGCTAATAAGAAAACACTATTCATTTATTTTTAGCTTGTAACTCTGTTTCTAACTAGGTGGAGGATATAAAAAGCTGCCTATGTTCTGAGGGTGTAAACTACCTCTACGTCAGGTAAAAAAAAACTGACTTCTACGTCTCCATATAAATGATACTCTTTATTCATTTTCATTATTCATCAATGGTGTTAGCTTTTTTGAAAAGCTGCATACCTGTTTCTAAATAGTTTTGCACTAAGGGTGAAACAAGCATTGTAGAAGCCGTCTGTTGCTAAAATGCATTTTTGACGTTCAAGGGTTGAAATCAACCGCTTTGACCGCTGCGAAGAAAATGGGATCTAAGTGGTCTCATAGCTACTAAGTGAAGGAACACTTTTGATTCATTTTTAGCCAGTAACTTTTTTGCTGACTGGGTGAGAACTGCCAAAAATCGCATCTTTTACGTTCAATGGGTGAAATCAGCCCCTTCGACGGCTCCGAAGAAGATGGGATCTATGTGGCCCTATAGCTACTAATAAAGGGAACACTTTTGGTTCATTTTTAGCCTGTAACTTTTTTGCTGGCTAGGTGAGAAATTCCAAAAACTGCATTTTTTACGTTCAAAGGGTGAAATCAAGCCCTTCGACGGCTCCGAAGAATATGAGATCTATGTGGTCGCATAGATACTAATTAATTCAACACTTTTGGTTCATTTTTAGCCAGTAACTTTTTTGCTGGATAGGTGAGAAATGCAAAAAACTGCATTTTTTACATTCAGGGGGTGAAATCAACCCATTCAACGGCTCCGAAGAAGATGGGGGATCTATGTGGTCTTATAGCTATAATGAAAGGAACACTTTTGGTTAATTTTCAGCCTATAACTTTTTTGCTGGATAGTTGAGAAATTTAAAAAACTGCATTTTTTACGTTCAAGGGTTGAAATCAACCCCTTCGTTGCTTTCGAAGAAGATGGGATCTATGTGGCCCTATAGCTACTAATAAAGGGAACACTTTTGGTTCATTTTTAGCCTGTAACTTTTTTGCTGGCTAGGTGAGAAATTCCAAAAACTGCATTTTTTACGTTCAAAGGGTGAAATCAAGCCCTTCGACGGCTCCGAAGAATATGAGATCTATGTGGTCGCATAGATACTAATTAATTCAACACTTTTGGTTCATTTTTAGCGTGTAACTTTTTTGCTGGATAGGTGAGAAATGCAAAAAACTGCATTTTTTACATTCAGGGGGTGAAATCAACCCATTCAACGGCTCCGAAGAAGATAGGAGATCTATGTGACCTTATAGCTATTAATGAAAGGAACACTTTTGGTTAATTTTCAGCCTGTAACTTTTTTGCTGGATAGTTGAGAAATTCAAAAAACTGCATTTTTTACGTTCAAGGGGTGAAATCAACCCCTTCGACGGCTCCGAAGAAGATGGCATCTATGTGGTCTCATAGCTACTAATGAAAGGAACACTTTTGGTTAATTTTTAGCCTGTAACTTTTTTGCTGGCTAGTTGATAAGTGCCAAAAACCTCATTTTTTACGTTCAAGTGGTGAAATCAACCCTTTCGACGGATCCGAAGAAGATGGCATCTATGTGGTCTCATAGCTACTAATGAAAGGAACACTTTTGGTTAAGTTTTAGCCTGTAAATTTTTTGCTGGCTTGGTGAGAAATGCCAAAAACCGAATTTACTACGTTCAAGGGGTGAAGTCCACCCCTTCGACGGGTTCGATGAAATGACCCAATAGCTAATAAGAAAACACTATTCATTTATTTTTAGCTTGTAACTCTGTTTCTAACTAGGTGGGAGATATAAAAAGCTGCCTATGTTCTGAGGGTGTAAACTACCCCTATGTCAGGTAAAACAAAAATATTCTGACTTCTAGGCCTACATATAAATGATACTCTTTATTCATTTTCATTATTCATCAATGGTGTTAGCTTTCTTGAAAAGCTGCATACCTGTTTCTAAATAGTTTTGCACTAAGGGTGAAACAAGCATTGTAGAAGCCGTCTGTTGCTAAAATGCATTTTTGACGTTCAAGGGTTGAAATCAACCGCTTTGACCGCTGCGAAGAAAATGGGATCTAAGTGGTCTCATAGCTACTAAGTGAAGGAACACTTTTGATTCATTTTTAGTCAGTAACTTTTTTACTGACTGGGTGAGAACTGCCAAAAATCGCATCTTTTACGTTCAGTGGGTGAAATCAGCCCCTTCGACGGCTCCGAAGAAGATGGGATCCAGGTGGCCCTATAGCTACTAATAAAGGGAACACTTTTGGTTCATTTTTAGCCTGAAACTTTTTTGCTGGCTAGGTGAGAAATTCCAAAAACTGCATTTTTTACGTTCAAAGGGTGAAATCAAGCCCTTCGACGGCTCCGAAGAATATGAGATCTTTTGGTTCATTTTTAGCCTGTAACTTTTTTGCTGCATAGGTGAGAAATGCAAAAAACTGCATTTTTTACATTCAGGGGGTGAAATCAACCCATTCAACGGCTCCGAAGAAGATGGGGGATCTATGTGGCCTTATAGCTACTAATGAAAGGAACACTTTTGGTTAATTTTCAGCCCGTAACTTTTTTGCTGGATAGTTGAGAAATTCAAAAAACTGCATTTTTTACGTTCAAGGGGTGAAATCAACCCCTTCGACGGCTCCGAAGAAGATGGCATCTATGTGGTCTCATAGCTACTAATGAAAGGAACACTTTTAATTAAGTTTTAGCCTGTAAATTTTTTGCTGGCTTGGTGAGAAATGCCAAAAACCGAATTTACTACGTTCAAGGGTTCGATGAAATGACCCAATAGCTAATAAGAAAACACTATTCATTTATTTTTAGCTTGTAACTCTGTTTCTAACTAGGTGGGGGATATAAAAAGCTGCTTATGTTCTGAGGGTGTAAACTACCCCTATGTCAGGTAAAACAAAAATATTCTGACTTCTACGCCTACATATAAATGATACTCTTTATTCATTTTCATTATTCACCAATGGTGTTAGCTTTCTTGAAAAGCTGCATACCTGTTTCTAATTAGTTTTGCACTAAGTGTGAAACAACCCTTTTAGAAGCCGTCTGTTGCTAAAATTAGCTAGAAATACGTTGCAATCATTAAAAATTCAGTAGTTGGTAAAAAATGGCTGCTGGAAATTGGCTGCTAACTTCACACGAATCTCCGGAAGAATTGACTGCTAGAAACTGGCTGCTAACTTCACACCGGTCACATCTTTGACTTTTTTACCCCTTTCTCTAGACGTTTTCGTTTGTCATATATTTATGTGTGAACATTACATGATATAACTATATATTCTTTTTTCTCAATATCTGTTAATCATATTCATAGGTTCTTTTCCCTCTACATAAAGCGCCTTTCTCTTTTTTTGTATTTTTTGTTTCACTTTATGGCACACAGAGTGTATAAATTAAACCATTGTACTATGTATTGCTCTCTAAATAGTATTTGTACTGCTTGGCAATAAATGCTTTATAATTATTATTATTATTACTATTATTATTACTATTATTATTATTATTATTATTATTATTATTATTATTATTATTATTATTATTATTATTATTATTATTATTAACCATTTGAATATACACAAAATAGTGATTTCTCCAACTTTAATGTTTAATAAAAAGTTACCCAGCAAAATGTTTTGTATGTCTCGATGACGGGCCTTTTCATATACCCTCAAGATAATAATATTTATTGTATCACAGGTTAATGCTTTTTTTATAAAATAGAGTCGGTTTTTGACTAGTTATATTGGTATTACCAGAAAGTGAATGAAAAGGACAGCCTTTATTACCCACTTCATGTGTGCAAGAACGAATATTAATAATTGTTTTAAAGATCAGTTTTGCAGTGTGCTTTCCTCTTAGTTAGGAAAAATAGGCTGTTGGTCTTTTCACCGTTTTTGGCGAGTCTCCAATAAAACTACAGAAATCTTTTATACATCATTTTCCTCAAACATATGCAAACGGCCTCTATGCGCGGACTTTTGTTTGTCCGAGTCCGTGTTTATTTTCTTGTCTTCGTATGAATCTTACACATTTATTCTTGCCATTGTCAGTATGACAACTTGTTTGTTATGGCCGTACGATCTGACTTTACCTTTGCTGATAGCAATGTCTGAAGATACAACTACAATGTTGACAGGCTGTGTCAGATGTATAGAAGTATTTTCCGAAAGTGAATGGAAACAACGGTCCTCTATCATCCAATTATTGTGTATGTACAAGAGCGAGTGGCTGCTGCGTGTGAAGGATCGCCTTGAGCAGTATGCAAATTCCCTTAGGGAAGTCAAGATCAGCACATGGTACACTTGTGGCGTTGATTCGTAACCGCCAAAAATGGTGAAAAGACATACATATACACTTATATAACGTCACAAGGCTGAAACATTCTGCCCAAGATTTCATCCGATTTGTTATATTGTCACAGTCCCTACCCAGAAAATGCCGCGTCTCCTCACCACATCGGCATCAGCATGTCGCCGGCTGTTTAAGAAGACGGAGCTAGCAGGTGTTTCTATTGAACAATTGGAAACTGCAGAGTCGTACGCGGCTGCTTTGATGGACATTAGGCGAAAATGGCACTTGCCGCCAGCATTCAGCGTAGAATTTATCGCCTACTTTTTAGATAGGAATGATAGGTTAGTAAAAGCAGTACATTCATATGTTGTAAGTATTATTTGTTTTGATGCCTATTTATTTTAGTAATCCACAAAATCTTAGTTATCTCAAAATGTTCAATATGCTCATAATTCAAAGTTTTCATATCCATCAGATATTTTTAATATTTTATCAACGAGCTGCAGAAAGCACCTGGCGCGGCATTAGAACGTGACCAGAGACAGAGCCGCGTGGCATTCAGAAAAGCTATGGTTCTCACTGAAATATGACTCATATTATTACCTCTCCATTGCTTTATTCGGAATTTTATGGAAAGGTAGAGAAACGCTTATGGGCCTGAATACTAATTTTCAGTAAAATACAATGTTTATTTGCCTCAGACATATTCGCGTATCATGAGAGGTCTCAAATAAGTCCTCTAAGGTTGCTGGGTTGTAGTTGAATTAATTTTAAGCGATGTATACGATTCAAACCTATATGGAATTCTGAAATTGCAGTTGATTGACTGGAAGCTTTCATGTCGTTTAAAAAACTAAACGCGATGCCAGGAAATGGTTTTTTAACTCTGAGGAATATAATAAAACCATTACTGAGATTTAGAAAGCAAAAACATTGAAACATCCGTTTGCCCTTATGTTAGCAGTGCCCAGCCCTCCTTGGCCATTGAACATTCATGGCCGGGCAAAGATGTTACAAGTTACAACAGTGCCGAAGTGGGCATTCACGTCAATGTCCAATTATCGTATATTGTCTGTAACAGATATAATCATTTGGTAGTTTTACCTGAAAGGTTTGTAAAAGTTTTGAAAAGCACTTGTGATTTCGACGTGCTTTTTTCAAATATTGCTTTTGTGCTGGTATCTCTTCGCTAAGGCCGTCATATTGGTGAAATGGTGACTAACTGCAGTTTTTTATAATATCTTCGTACAGACTTTTTTTACGCTAAAAATAGGCTATTCAAAATGTTAAACTATAGAAAATCTCCTTCAATTCGTATGTTTAACATTATTGTAGCATAAAGTGAGTGATATGCAATTATTTCCGATCGAATATCAGGTGTTTAGATGTGATAAGAATCTCGATTCAAACTAGTTGTCTACAGGTGGCGGATCGTTGATTGGTGTAAAAAGCTCGTACAACGTAACAAGTATGAGTGTCCATATACTAAATCAAGCTTTTCCTTTTCTTGACACTGTTGCTGTTAAAATAGTTTTTAATACATCTGTTCTTGTTATTTTTACCTTTTCACATTCCATCATCTGTAACGACAACTGAGTGAGTATTATTTGGATGTTTTGGAATCATTTATTGGAGCTTTTGAATCTTGTAAAATTTTTCTAGTTGTTGACTTCGATATCCCTGCGTTTAGTATTGATTTAAATGACCGTAAGAATCAAATTCTTTTGTTTACAGCTTCAAAATTTCAATAAATGACTGGACTTAGTTTTAGCCAACCTTAATGTCGTTGTACTGAGAACCGTGCTGAGATTGAGAATCAAATCACAGTTGCATATTCAGCTTATATTTAGGATGCTGAGGATAAAATTCGTGGAGATCATACAAAATGTTGGTCATTTGTTAATGCTAGAAGGGAAAATTCCAGAATCCCAGTAAATATGATATATAAGGACATTCAATATAGCTCGCCTAGGGTGATAGTTGATACTTTTCAAGAATATTTTTCAACAGTTTCCACAAAATCTGATGCGTCTAACTACAAATCATTAAAGCCCGCTAGTTCACCTATTGCACTGAACAGTATTAGTGAAGATGATATTATTCGCACTTCTAGAAAACTGAAAAACAAAATGACTTCAGGATTTGATGGTGTTCCCTGTTTTATAGTAAAAGATTGTATTTATGTGTTCGCC